TTAAAGTACGTCCCCAGAGTGGAACACCACACAGCCGTTTGAAAGAATGTGGCAGCTCCATGGGAACTGAAATGGGAGGATCACTAAGACACATCGATGGAGGTGCCAAACTGTGGGCACAGGATTCTTCCATTTGTATAATTTTATATACATATATGTGTACATATATTACATACATACACATAAACTCCTACAAATATACTTGAATACAGAGGCAACATGCAAAATATTTAGCAACTGGTAGAGCAGGGTACCACCCGGCTGGCACGGATGCTGGTGGACAGGCCACATTGCTGCATCCCTGTGAAGGCTAGGCCCGCTTTTGTGGATACGTAAGAACATTTTTTGGAAGGAGACAGAAGAAGCTGATGGCACTGATTATGGAGTAATTATGGAGCTTTTGACTGAAAGTAAGATAATATTCAACTCTTACAACAACAGGCTGTAGCCAGAGCACACTCAATAGGATTCTGGAATGGGTTGGGTGGGGGTCGGGAAGGTCATTCCGGAAGGCAGCCAGGGGCTTGCAGTTCTAACAACACACTGCTCCTCTAATCCTCGGGATCTCAGACCTGTTCTGTGGCGGCATAGAACACCGTGCAGGAGGCGTCTCTCGCAACTAGGAACACCTTTCTTAAGAAGGATGACACTCTGCCAGGAGCGCTCTTGTTTTCCGTACCAGTCAAGTTCAGATTAAGACTGACTGGCTATTTCCCTATTTTTCAGTCTGCATTCATTTGCTACTTTATGGCTTCATTTTATCCAGGAGCGCTCTTTGCCAGCAAACAAGATTGTAGGGGGAGGAGAAGAGCAAAAGTTTAAGACTAATAAAAAAAGAGAACATTTTACACTGAACTCTACCCATTGACTTTTTTTTTTGATGGATTGGGAAGGATGACCAATTTGCCCTGGCCAGCTCTGTCCCTCTCAGCCCTTTGCCACTTGAGAAACTCCACCCCGTCCTTAGGTCCTGATTCCTTGCCAACCCTAGCATCCTCTTCTTTGCCTAAGCACCATTCCCCAAAATAAAGCCCCCGAGAGACGGAATGAGGCCCCGGCTTCTGACTAGGAATGAACGCAGTGGCGCAAGGGTCACTGGGAGGCACTGGTGAGCTCTGGGTCGAGTTCTGTGCTTTAATCCTCCCAGCACCCTAAGAGGTCACCGCTGCTGGCTGTCCCTGTGTTCCAGATGAGGAAACAGGGCAGGCGATCCCTTGCCCCAGGGCCTATGGCCAGGAAGAGTGCAATTAGAACCCGGGCCTCTCTGCCACCAAAGGCCACACTTTTGACCACTGTGCACTATGGCTCATTGAAAATGCAAGTTGGCTAGTACCATGGGCCCCAGGCTTTGCTGTTGGGGACGGAGCGGGGGAGGGTTGATAACATCCACCCCTCCAGCAGCGCAGCCTGCAGCCCTACATTCCTGACAACCCTGCTCAGACTCCCATCCGTATCTCTTAGATTAGTCTCCAGCTATTTTTACTCTGCCCTCGCCAGGGAAGAAACACAGCTTGGGCAAACCCTCAGGCAGGGCCCCAGGGGAGACCACCATGAGCCAAGGAAGAAAAGTGAGCTTATTTTACATTTTACTTTTTTTTTTTACTCTTTTTTCCTTAGAAGCATCTCCAAATCGAGTCACCCTGCTAAACCACCTCCAACAGGGCCTTTCTGACCACCTAAATTCACCAACACAGGAACCAGCAAGGGGAAATGGGAGGCCCGTCGGGGAAGATGGGAAGCCTGGAGAAGGGCAGGCTGTGCGTGGGAGGGAGAGTCAGGGACACGCTGAGCTGGAGGGCCCTCAGCGCCACCCGGATGGAGCTGATGGAGGGAGCCGGAGCTCTCCTGAGAGGTGCGGAGTGGAGACAGAACTCTGGCATTAATGACGATCATCCTCTAGATGATGACTAGAGCTGTGGGGACATGGATGACCCGGCCTTGGAGAGAAGATACAGAGGGAGAAGAGGAAACATCTAAGCCAGCATTTAAGGCTGAAAAGAAGATGCACAAAGAAGAGTGAGCAGAGTTGCCAGAGAAGCAGGAGGAAAACCAAGAGAGGATGAGTCACAGAAGTGGGAGGTTTCTGGGGAGAAGTAATGACCAGCAGGGTCAACAAGCGCCGAGAGATGAGGGAAGGGGGGAGCGGCTTGAGATGAGCAGCCTGGAGGTAACGATGACCTCAGCAAGGCTTGTTTCGGGAGGGTTGTGGTAGCAGTAGACTGAAGTGGCCCAGGGAGTGGGAGGTGAGGAAACGGAGACCCATGTCACAGGGTGGGCAGCAAAGAGGCAGCAGTGGCCCAAGGGAGAAGCAGTCTCCCGAGCCCTGTCCCAGAGGACCGCTCTTTCGCCCTGCAGGTCCTCTGCGGCAGCCAGCGCACAGGCTCCACGGCCATCGTGTATGGTCTGGAGGGCGCGGGGCCTCACAGGGACGTGCAGTCCTCGGTGTCTAGCACGGAATGGGAACCCAACACACATCAGATGCTTTTGATGACAGTGATAATGACAATGATGATGAAAAATACAGATTCTTGAAGATCAGAAAATCTTTCTCTGCGATGAAAAGAACAGCCAGACTCCCCAAGAAGGAGCCGGGTAAGAGCGTCGCATCAGTCCCCAGTCGTTCCCTCTCAGGCTCACTGGCTGGTTCCTCTTCTCTCTTTGTCCTTTTTCTCCACTATCTCTACTCAAATCTCTGGCTGATTGCATCCACCTCACGGCTTTAAACTCCATCTATATCCCAGAGACCTTAAAGTTTATCCCTCTGTCACCCTGACCGCTCCCCCAAACTCCAGGCTTATGCAGCCACCTGTGTACCTGTCACCTTGACGAGGGCGTCTAATAGAATCTCAGCCCAACGGGTCCTCAGCCCAACCCCTGATGGTCCTCCTGCAGCTACTTAGGCTAAAAACTCCATCGTTTCTCACTCTCATTCCTTCAAGAATGACACCCATTCCTTCGGGAAACTCTATCCTGTTGGTTCTATCTTCAAAATATATCCAGAACATGACCACTTCTCCTCGCCTCTACTGATGTCAGCCTGGCACAGCCACCATCACCTGCCACCTGGACAGCTGCGTCCCTCTGCTCCGCCCTCAGCCCCGCACTCTGTTCTCAATCCGTAAGTCCTATCAAGTCACTCGGCTCAAAGCCCTCCAGCGGCTCCCCGTGCCCCTCAGAGTACAGGACAACCCTTCCAACGACCTACAAGGCCTGTCATGATTTTGCCCACCACTGTCTCTCTGGCCTCCTGGGTTACTTCTCTCCGATTCCTCACACTCTGCGCTAGACACACTGGCTCCCTTGCTGTTCCCCAAACGTGCCGGTCATGCTCCGATCTGCACCTAACTGCAATGTGGAGTTTTCTTCCACATCACCAAGCAATTCTCCTACAATTCAGCTCAAGTCTGACACGGTCTACCTGGAGATAGTGTCAGATCCCACAGGCTAAGGGCCCAGTCCTCCAAGACTGCCCCCACCTTCAGAGGCCAATCGCAATCTATAGCTTTTGACCAACAGGCTTTAGATTGGAGGTGCTCATGATCCCCTCCTCCTTGGATTTGATTAATTTGCGAGAATGGGTCCCAGACCTCAGAGAAACATTTTATTTACTAGACTACGGGTTTATTATGAAAGGACAGAACTCAGGAACATCCAGACGGAAGAGATGCAGAGGGCATGGTGTGGGAAAAGGGGGCTGAGGTTCCCTGCCCTCTCCGAGAGCTGATTTCCCGGAGTCTCCCTGTGTGCACCAACCCGGAAGCTCTCTGAACCTCATCCTTTTGGGTTTTATGGAGGCTTCATTACATCAGCATGATTAGTTAGAACACTGGCCACTGATGCCTGAACCCAACCTCCAGACCCTCCCCTCTCCCCGGAGGTCAGAGGTGGGACTGAAAGTTCCAACCCTCTAATCACAGGCTTGGCTCCCCCAGCAACTAGCCCACAAAGTCACTCATTAACATAACAAAAGGCACCACTCTCACGCCCATCACAGGAAATTCCAAGGGCTTAAGGAGCTCTGTGCCAGCAATAAGATGAGCACCAAATAAAAATCTCTTATGATAAATTACAACAGGCCTTTGCTCTGGCTGGTTCCTCACGGCTGTCCGCATGGCTAAGTGCCCCCTCCTCAAGCCGATGCTCAGATCTCACCTTCTCAACGAGCCCAGGTCTGCCCACCTCACTTAACATTGCAAACCTGCCTCACGCCTACATCCCAGCTCGTCCTTAGCCAGCTCCACTCTCGCCACAAACACTTACTTTCTACTGTAATGAAGGACTGACTTAGTACGCTAGTTGCTTCTCATCTGCCCGCATTCCCCCACCTACTATAAGTTCCATGAAGACAAACCCTCTTTGTTTTGTTCACCGTGAATCTAACAAGGTGCCTGGCACAAAGCAGGTGCTCAGTAAATACTTCTAGGATGAAATCTCCTGACCCTGCTCTATACGTCTGTTCCCTTGACTGTCAGCTAACAAAAAATGTAGAATACAAGTTTGCCTGACTGTTTAACACTGAAAACTCAGGTCATTTATGAAATGTCTTCCAACAACAAGACACACAGGTAAGCTTTGTACGTTTGTATGTTTTTTAAAACCTGCTGTTAAAAAACAAACAGAAGTCCATAAGAGCATTTCACACGGACTGATGGGAATGGTCTTACTCACAGCAAGACCACAGAGCGAATGTGAGCACTGCCCCCTCACGGTTGAACGTGGAGATGCCGCCTCCCACACAGCCGGCCGTGTGAGGACGACTTTTAACCCTGGTGGCTGACTGCAGTTGTAAGATAAAATGTTACTGATGACATTTCAAAATGGGTCAAATTCAACCCTATTTTCAGGAGGAGGCAAGTAAAAGAGGAATGAAGTGTCAAAGGGAGAAGTTTTAGGGAGTACAGAGCCCACGCGTTTCCATATTGTGAGGAGGATGTTGACAATTAGTGGGAAGTAGTAAAGAAAAATGTTAAGACAAGAAAATCCGAACTTGATAACATCCATCTGTTGCACTTACAGCTGGAATCCGAGTGGGAATTTCCCATCTGTGCTTTATTCTCAGCTTTAATTTGACTATAAATAAGACACATGCGTGCACAATGTGCAGTCTTCTGGGGCCAGAAATTGTTTAAGGATGATATATATAGTGCACACACTTTAACTCAGAACCCACACATTAAACCAGTTAGTCCGAGGTGTGCAGTCGCTCTCTTACAACTTGGTCCCATGATAATCTGGCACTCCGTAACCACGGCCTTAACTGTTGACACCCTCTCCTCAAACAGATCTAAACAGAGCTGCCAACGCCCTGGCCAGCTTCCCCTGAAGCCCCTGGCTGTCTGCTGCAGGAAACCCCGGGGCCAGTGTCCTGGAGGTGGCCACACTGGGGAAGCCCATTGCTCAGTCAGACAGAAGATGCACTTGCTACTTTATACTCTTGTTTGATTCTCAAATTGACTCCACGAGCGTCTACGTGGACTATCACCTCCCACTTTACAGGTGGGGAAACTGAGGCTTAGTGACATAAAGTAACTTGCCCACGGTCATGTGGTCCACTAGTAATAGAGCTGAGACTCAAAACCAAGTCTTTGAGCCAAGCTTCAAAGTCCATGTTTGTTCCACTTTGCCCTCTGCCTCCACACTCCCTCTCTGGGGCTATAAATAGCGGGGCAGGCTGGCATTCCATGTACGAGGTCAGCCGGGCCTATAGCACAAGGAGAAACGAACAGCTCCAGCCTGGCCTAGCCCAGGCCCTGGCCCCCTGGCCTCAACAGAACTCAGGCCCAGACAGGCCTCAGCTGATCACTAGCTTTGCTCTCCTTGGTTATATTTAGTTCTGGACCTCAAAGAGAAAGGCATGGGCTGGCCCCTGAGACACTGCACACCCCCAGGCCAGGCCAGGCCACAGTGCATAGCAAGAGGAGAAGCTGTCTGTCTCAGCCGCTTCAAATGTTGGGTGGCCACCTCCAGCAGGGGCTGTTTGCATGCTCCTTCCTCAGAGTCTGAGGCATCTTGTTCTTCTTGCTCCTTGAGGGAGGGACCATGGCTGCTTTACCAAGGGATCTGTAATGGTCAGCAGTGTCTGTAATCCACTGTGTGTGGCTGTTGCTTAATAATTCTTTGTTGAATGAACAAATAAGTGATCTAAGTTCACGTCCTACAGATCTGAACATCACAAAAGAGGCACACAAATTCCCAGGGGGACAGCTTATACAACCAAATGCATGTCACTCTGTTAAACACAGTCAAGTTTATTCAAGGAATGGACGTGGGTTTTCATCGTCTTTCTTCCCCCTTCTCTCTTCCCTCCACCAGACCTGGCATCAAAACCACAGTGGGAAAGAGAGCATCACATGCTGGAGGCTGGCCTCGGGGTGCCCCATGTGGCAGCCACCCTTGGTGTGCGACGGCTCTTGGAGTCCATGTCCCTGTAGGCATTCTGATGGCAGGCCTCGCCTTGCTCTGCTTGCCCCTTACAAGCCAGCCTCCTGCAGAAACCTGGGCAGCTGTGTTTCCATCCGACTTGCTGAGCAACTGGAGTTGACTGGGGGGACACGGATGGGTTTGGCAGCCTGGGCCAGAGCTCAGGAGCATGGCTGGATCCTGACACCGGAGCTTAAAGGGCAAAAGTGGCAGCTCTCAGATGTTACAAAAATGGAAAGAGCCGCTTTTTAACAATATAGAGGACTGTCGCAAGAAACAGGGCCAGCGCAAGGAAAATGAGAAGCTTGTCCGTCAGTTCTCGGCGATTATATTTTGTGATGAGCTTCCGGCCCAACTGGATGGTCCCCGACATGGACTTAAATTCTTCATTTGCATCCAGGATAGTCCGAGAAGAATTGACTGAAAGAAAAGAGGGAGGGAGCCTGACTCAGAGACGGCAGAGCACAAAATCCAAAGTCTCTGCTCTGCCGGCTGGGTCACCAGGGAACGACACTGCTCTCCAAGGCAAGCTCCTCCGAGCCAGACGCACAGAGTGTGAACGGACAGTCCAGAGGGGCAAAGGGGCCAGGATGCAACAGGAAAGGCGCTTCCCGAAGTCCCAGCCAGCTCAGAGTGACGTGGTTGCTCACACACAACATCACAGGGCCATCGCTAGGAGTCCTCTGACATGGACAACACCAGGGAGAAGGGCAGAAGAGGGTCCCTTTCCTCACTGCCAACCTCAGCTTTCTGAAGCAGGCAGGTGCTGCTAAGAACATCCACGAGCACAAAACTAACCTGGGTGGCTGTGGACACGCACTGCGAGGTCTGACAGGGGCAGAAACGGGAGCCACCACGACTTCCACCTGTGAGGCACACCCTGCCAGGACACCTCACAGTCAGACCCACTCTCCGTGGGACCACGAAAGGTCGGGCTGAGCCCTGCCACAAGCCCTCACCTGTGCCAGCCCTTCTGTCCTGGGACACTGGCTGTAGCCTTAAAGATGTGACACCGGATGCTAGCCATTGTGTGAAGCCTAAGACGAGGCACATACCGCCTAAGGCTCGATGTGCCCAGGTGTCAAATTCACTTCTGAGGCTGGATATCTGGGCCTGAACTTGGGGATGTTTACCCAGCAAGATTCTCCTACAAAGCCTAACGGGCACCATCCAGACATCCACAGAACGAAATGCGTGTTAAGGGACAAGGCAAGCTGTGAAAGTGTTTGAGCCACATCCCCACTCACGTAAGCAAGGGGGGAAATCACTCTTCATCTGCCTGTGCTGTGCGCGCTGGAGGGTCTCAGAAGGATATAAAAGAAAGTGGCAACAGCAGTTGCCCTGGGGAGTTGACCTGGTGGTCGGGGGGGTCAGAGAGAGAGCTGTCTTTCTGTTTCCCTTTTGTCCTGTCCAGGGCTGTGCAGCCCAATACGGCAGCCATTAGACACATGTGGCACCTGAGCATGGAAAATGTGGCTAACCCAAATGGATATGTCTCTAAGTGTAACACACCGGCAGGGTTTCAAAGACAGTCTGAAAAGAAAGGAATGTACAGAGCCGGCCAGGTGGCATAGCGGTTAAGTTTGTGCGCTCCACTTCGGCAGCTGGGGTTCATGGGTTTGGATCCTGGGTGTGGACCTACATATCACTCATCAAGCCATCCTGTTATGGCGTCCCACACACAAAATAGAGGAAGATTGGCAGAGATGTTAGCTCAAGGACAATCTTCCTCACCAAAAAAAAAAAAAAAAAAAAAGGGAAGTAAAATATCTCAATAATTTTTCATATTAATCCCATATTGAAATGGTAATATTTTACATATAATTGGTTAAGTAAAATATATTACTAAAATTAACTTCCTAAGTTTCGTTTTACTTTTGTTAACGTGCTTACCAGGAAAATTTTAAGTTATATATGTGGCTCATAGGATGTTTCTACTGGATAGTGCTGGCCTAGAGGTTTTTTCCTGAACCATGTAATTTATATTACCTTTTCACAAAATTAAAAGTTAATAAGTAAATAAAAGAAATTACCAGAGGAAACAGAGGAGTGTTCTGAAAAAGGCAGACTGGGGGAAATCAAACAGGTAAAAATCCCTCTCAGCCCTCTTTCTGTGTGCCTGCTGCCATTTCAAAAGCCTACGCAGGTAAGGAAGGACCTGTTCAGTAAAAACCTGACAGGCCTTCTCTTTAAACTTTCTTACAGAGAATTCTAAACCGTCACAAAAGCAGACAGAGTAGTACCAGGAAATGCCGTGTGCCCGTCACCCATCCCCAAGACCCACTGGCTCCCTGGCGACCCTGTCCCTCTGCCACTCCCACCCAATGCCCCTGCCCCACGATTTCACAGCAAATTCCAGACATCATACCCCTAACAGCCTTTTTAAAAAATGGGGGTCCTATTAGGCTTTTAAATCCAGCTGAATTTGGGAGCCATAAGGAAAGGATTGAGAACCACCCCCTTCCTTCTTCAACAGCTACCTCTCCTACAAAACGTGCCCCGAGAACAACCTTCAACGCCCGACAAACCATCAGCACCTGCGCACCCCTCTCACCACTTCACTGCATTGTGTTTCTGCACTGGGGGTGGGGTGTCCTGTCACCGCATCGGAGCAGAAGAGCCCTCGACTCAGAGGCCAGGTGGTCTCTTTCTCGCGTTCTCCGAAGCCTCCCCGGAGGCGTGGGCCCACCCCCAGCGCACACGTAGGGGAGGTGACCCGTGGGCTCTAAGCCTAAACGCCCAGGTAAGTTTCCAACACAGGCAGTGACCTTGGGGACAAGCTGCTGGCTTTCCTTTTGCTTCTGCCTGTTTGAATAGTGCACTGAAAAATAGTGGCTCAAAATTACAGATGATTTTCAGGGGTGATGATGGTATTGTGGTTTTGTTTGGTTTGGTTTTTGTTTCAAGATTCTCTTATCTTCTAGAGAGACCTACTGAGGTATTTGAAGACAATGTTTGGGATCTCCTTCAAAATAACCCAGACGGGGGCACAGCAAGGATAAAGTTGCAACAAGATTGGCCCTGAGCTGACAACTGTTGAAGCTGGGTGATGGGTTCGTGGGATTCATGCACCATGCTCTCTACTGCCGTCTCTGTATGAAATCTTTCAAAAGTGTCTCAAGGAGTAAACGCTCTTCTTCTGATTTCCTATACCGAGGACCCTGGAGAGAGCCAACTCTCTCATGCATTACAAGGGAGACACCATGGAACACTGCTGCAGAGAACCAGATGGTCTCCAGCAGCTTCTGCTCTGGCTTCTGACTATATCCTTTAAAAGGAGCTCACAGTAAAAATAACGTTGGGGAGTATGATTGTAAGCTGGGGTCGTAGCAGACTAGCTGGCAGTCAGTACACTAAACATCGCTTGGGGCAATGATTCTCAAACCTGCCCGGCCACATGCGTCCCCAGAGCCCTTGAGAAAAGACTCCCAGGCCCCTCCCCCGCACTGCTGGCACCCACTCTCCCGGAGAGGGCCTGGGGGTCTCTGCTTTTCACACCAGCCCCTGGGAGCACTTCTGCTGGGGAATCATTTTGATGGGCGTGTGCAGGTCCTGTAGTACAACTATAAAAACCAAAGAGAAATAAGAGCAGCATATCCCACTCTGGGTAAGACCACGCTGTGAAAGAAGTGAGAAGCCATACACACAAGTCAGTAAGCTGGGGACCGAGTCGGCGGGCAGAGGTGGAGGGCCCGGAGCAAGGGCTCTGGAGCCTGAGTCTCTGGGAGAAGCGTCCTTCTCCAGACCCGGCTTTACCTAGCGTCTGCATGGCTTCCTCGCTCTGCTGGACCTGCTGGGACATCATCCTGCTGATCCCCATGAGGCTCTCTGTGATGGCGCTGGACGTCTGCGCCAGGCTCTCTTTGGTGGTTTTCCTAAAAGCACGGAGTGAGGGGAGGAATGTCAATACAAGCATGGCTACAAGAAAGCCCACACACAAATGAGATCCCATTTTTTTAATCCATCACATTAGTACATATGTTTTAAATGACCATAGTCAATGCTGACAAGAGTGTGCTGAGATCACACTTTTATATATTTTTTTTAAGATTGGCACCTGAGCTAAAAACTGTTGCCAATCTTTTCTTTCTGCTTTTTCTCCACAAATCTCACCAGCACATAGTTGCATATTTTAGTTGTGGATCCTTCTAGTTGTGGCATGTGGGACGCAGCCTCTGCGTGGCCTGACGAGTGGTGCCATGTCCACGCCTACGATCCAAACCAGTGAAACCCTGGGCCGTGGAAGCGGAGCGCGTGAATTTAACCACTTGGCCACAGGGCCGGCCCCGAGACCACACTCTTAAAGACTGCCTGTAGGCACATAAACTGGCGCTCCTTTAGGTAAAGCAATTTGGTAACACACATTAGGAGCCCTGGAAAATGTTCACGCTTTTGATCCAGTAATCTCTCCAAAGGAAAGATCCAAAATGTGGACAAGGCCCTATGTTCTAAGATGTGCCTTGGTGTGTTATTAACAACACTGAAAAACGAGAAACGTAAACACACACAAACGGGGGATGAGTTAATACAAAGGAATAGTATGCGCTGTTGCAATTTTGTTTCAAGAGTTTTTAAAAAACAGGCAAGTCTTTGTGCTGTAACGCTACATGAAGAAGAACAGGATATGAAATTTTATATACGGTACAATTTTGACTTTGTAAAACATATGGGAGAAAAAATAACAGGAGGAGGTGATATATTAAAATGTTTTAAAAGGCGCTAACATGAGTAACACGATTATGGCTTATTTTCATCTCGTAATTCATATTTTTCTTTAGTGTACCAATTTACTAGAAATAAGCACATACTTCTTCCATACTTCAAAAAAATATTACTTACATAATAAAATTAAATACTAACTTTATGCTGAAGACAAGAGGGGGTTCCCCATGTGGCTTTGCGCCCTGCCAACTGTTATCTATTCTATCCTCACAGCCCAGAAAGAGAAAAAGATGGATACCTTTGCCTTAAGAGGTCTCCTCCCCGGAGAAGTTCTGCTTTCTCTAGATTGTCAATGGCAATTTTGCAAGTAAGGTTAGCTTTCCTCCAGGAGGTCTGATTGCTGGAATTAGAAGGATCATGCGTGAGTCTCTGCTGACTCTACCACGCTGTCAGTCAGTTCAAGTCACAGCAGTGCTTCCTTCCGGCGGGGAGGGACGGAGAAGGGCATCTGGGAGGGGCCCACTGAGTCCATCCCCACCTTCTGCCGCTTCCTCCTCTTGGTTGCCCCAGCAACTGCCACGGTGGCTCCAACACCTCTGCCTGGACCCTGGAGGCTGCCCCTGGGCCATTCTCCTTCCCCCCGCAGGCAGCCAGAGGGAGCAGTCTGGCCAAGGGACTCCTCTGTTTACAGCCTGCAATGGCTCCAGACTTCAGGGTAACATCCCAACCCCGCAGCTGGGCACATGCGGTTCCATTCTGTCAAGTTCTAACACTCTACTGCTCTGCCCCCCGGACTGGGGGGTTTGGTTCCTCAAGAACCACCCCTTACTCATCTCTATCTCCAGTACCCAGAACAGCAGCCTCTGGCCCAATAGCTATGCAAGCAATACATGTTCTACCGAGCAGAAAACTCAGAAAAAGACAGTTTTCCTCCGTGTTTCTTTAAGAGCTGCTGTCCTCTACCCGCCACACGCCAGTCATGGACAGCACGAGAACACTGTTAGCAGGGCTCATCTGACACGATGATTTACATTCTTTACCTGACCTCCCTGGTGGGAGACAGCTCAGACTTGGTGAGCAGCTCCCTGGAGGGAGCAGTGAGGCCTCTGTGGACAGACCATCAAGAAATTAATTGGGCCCCTCAGAGCATCAAGCCCATGCTCTAGAACTCTTATGCACCTGGCTCAAATCAATTGTGCTGACCCCTGAAATACTTAAAAAGTCAGACACAGAGTGTGTGAACTGATAGGGTGGTTTTCTAAAAGCGCCTCTCCACTTAAAGTGTTCAGATGAGCGCTCTGATGCCGGAACTGCGTCGGCTAGGCCATTTCACACCCAACATTCAAAAAGAATCAATTACATTTTCAAACTGTTTGCAAGGGAGTTCTGCGGGGCCCCGTGATGCGCAGATGAATGAGCAACAGTGCCTGCCCTCAAGGGGCACACATTTATTGGGGAGAAAGACAAGCAAACAAATATTTACTGTCCAATGTAACAAGCAGGATAACCCAGGCAGACACAGGTACTGCTTCAACACACAATTGCCAAAGTATTACTTCACTGCTTTCTCTCCTCCAGCCTGCAACTCCACATCAGGAATGGCCATTCTCAACTTCAAACCCATGCAGAGCTGAGTTCGCGTGTGTGACTTCCTATACTTTATACAAGGGGTCCTCTTTACTCAGTGTTTATAATCTGAGTTCTCTTGGTGGCCTAGGGAAGCAAGAGCCATCATGAGACAAAGTGTCAACACTGAGCCAAGCACTGTAACACTGGTCACCACTTACATACCCCCCACTCACACTAGCCTCCACCATGCTCGCGCCTTTGTCAGTGCATCTCCTCCTGATTGTTGGGGTTATAAACACAGCTGCTGTCGGCGAGGATACTGCTGGAGAACCAGAAGCAACGCCATAGACAAACGAGGCCCGGCAGAGTCAGACCAATCAACAAGGCTGAGGAGGACAGCTGGGAGGAGGATGAGCTAGCGGGGTCTTCAAAAGAGAACGATCTTGCTACCAGAGGATTGGGCAAGTGGATGGAGCCCTCAAATATCTTGGCAACAATAACCCTCTTTATGAATTTGGTGCAAAAGCTAAACCTCAAGGGACAGATACTGTTTCACGCCCTCAGACAATTTTGTTGGAAGAGTCCCCCAATTCAATACCAAGAAATAGCACATATTTCAATTACATAATCAAGGATTAGCACATAGCTGGAATGATAACCTCAATTTAATTTAACATAAGCTTATTTATATTTTTTTGTTTCATTTTTAAAGATAAAGTCCCATTCAAAACTTTCTAAATTTGGACCATCTTAAGTAGGTTCACTTTCAGTGGATTTTTCTTGTATCAATTCTCCTTTGAAAAAAGGACCCCAGTATTACAAAAGCAACCATTTTTGGGTTTTGTTTTAAAAATATGAAATACAGTGTAACATTAAACAAGCTTTTATAAACTATGCCCAGTTCCACTTACCCTGTAGCCCTTGCTTGCCCCCCACTTTGAGAGTTACTGATTTAAAGAGAACATTCAGTGTGTGTATAAATGACACAATTACGTCACTAAACCCAGGTTTGTTAGGCAAACCCAGGCACAAGCCTCCCAGGGAGCGAGTGGCCCCGTGGAGGCCGCCGGCAGGAGACCAGGCCCCACCTACCTGAGCATCTGCTTTTTGTGATTCTCCACCTCCTGGAGCAGAACTTGCTTCTCTGACTCTCTGTCTTGCTCTTTAGCGGACTGCTCAAGCTCCTTTGGGGGAGAACAGCTCTACATTAAAATGATTTTAAAAGCCAATAGAGAAGCCGGAGAGCACTTCTATTTCTAGCCAGGTCACACGACGGCACTTGAAACCCGCCTAGAACAGAACTCCCAGTAATGCCATGTAACGAATAAACATCCTTTTAAATACACAGCTGAGTTTGCAAGGAAGTAAGGACAATCCCCAGGGCCCCAAAGTGCGAAGGGAATTAAGGGCGGAGCGGTCAGCCTGTGAGAGACGTGGGGCTGTCCTGCGGCGGAAGGTGCGCTCCTGGAATCCAGCGCACGCCTGAAATGGAAAGGGAAAAAAGCTACTAACCAGGGCCAGGCCCCGCTCTCAGACACCATGGAAATATCAAACTGCTGCACGTCTCCAAACGCTCACTCCCACTCTCTGACTTATTTCTTCAGGGCCTGGTAACAAGCAGTTCAGGGGGTTTAAAGCCCATGGAGGGACAGAAAAATGAAGCCTTGGCCACCCGAGGCTGGGAATCGGAACTGAGACCACCACAGATCCAAGACGCAGGAAGCCGTACGCCCTCCATGGAAAGGTGACCCAGGAAACCGTCTGTCAACCAGCCAGAGACAACATGGAAGCTCGTCTTTTTGCGCTGTGGGCTGTGGCTAGAGGGATATGAAATACCTCCCCTGAGAATTTATAACCGTGGAGCTATCCTGACACTGATTCGGGGTTCAAATGCACCCTCCCTGAGTGGCTCGAGACCCTCATGAGGAGAAATTAACATAAAAAGTGCCCCCAGACTTATGATAATCCCAGGAGACCAGGCAGAAGCAAGTGCTAACACCTCTGGAGAGCCCTGACTTCCTCCCAGGCTGCACAAACGTCCACAGACACGGCTTGTGGGAGAGGAGCACCCACCATGCAAGAACCAAACACCAGGAAACACGCGGCCCACCACAGGGAGGGAGGTGCGGCAGACATAGCAACCAGCAGGCTGAGCCCCAGGAACTTCAGATGACAGAACCATCAGGCAGACTATAATTAAAGATGTCATTACACCTCAAGGCTCAAGTCATTGTTCTTTTTTTTGGTGAAGAAGATTGGCCCTGAGCTAACATCTGTTGCCAATCTTCGTCTTTTTCGCTTGAGGAAGATTGTCCCTGAGCTAACAACTGTGCCAATCTCCCTCTATTTGTGTATGTGTGATGCTGCCACAGGATGGCTTTACGAGCAGTATGTAGGTCCACGCCCGGAATCCGGGCCTGCAAACCCCGGGCCACCAAAGCAGAGGGCATGACCTTAACCACTACACCACTGGCCAGCCCCTCAAGTCAAATTTTTTTGTTTACAAATTAAAACAAGTTCCAGTTTTAAAACATCCATGTATCAGCTCATGTATACACTAATTTATGTATTTATATACTCATTTGACATGCTGGTCTGTGGTGTCTGTTCACCATTTCAACAGCTCAGAGGTGGCTTCCAAAGTATGGCCTCAGATACCGCTGAGGCAGGGAAAAAAGAATGTGAACTGGAAAAGGTGTGCGGATGTAATCAGTTAATCCCTGGTTTAAAATCTAGATTCCCTAGTAGAATGTAAACTCTGCGAGAGCAGGACTGTACCCAGCGCTCATCACGAGTGCCCCCTGCACCTGGCACATACGAGGCCCCAGACCACTAGATGGAAGAAGGGAAGTGCAGGAAGGAGGGAGAGAGGAGACAGGGAGAAACGCACGGCTTCCTCAGGAAAGGCTGCCTGGAAGTTCTGTCACAGAGAATCAGAGATAGTTCCAGAAGAGAAGAAAGGGCAAAGCAGCTCTCAAATTCCAGCTTGAGAACCATATGCAAAGACACGCAGACAGATATTTACACATCGTTAACCCTAACGCTTACTGTGAACACAACACTCTATTTTGAGGATAGGAGGCCCATTCTCCTAGCATCAATCTTGTTGCAAATATACAGAGAAGACATTTATGTAAGATCTAAAAATATCAAACAAGGGGCCAGCCCTGTGGCACAGTGGTTAAGTTCGCATGCTCTGCTTCGGTGGCCCGGGGTTTGCCAGTTTGGATCCCAGGTGCGGACCTACGCACCACTTGTCAGGTCATGCAGTGGCAGGCGTCCCACAAATAAAGTAGAGGAAAATGGGCATGGATGTTAGCTCAGGGCCAGTCTTCCTCAGCAAAAAGAGGAGGATTGGTGGCAGATGTTAGCTCAGGGCTAATCTTCCTCAAAAAAAAAAAAAAATCAAGTGCCCACCCGGTGGTGCATCAGTTAAGTGCACACGTTCCGCTTCGGTGGCCCGGGGTTTGCTGGTTCGGATCCTGGGTGCGGACATGGCACTGCGTGGCAAGCCATGCTGTGGTAGGCGTCCCACATATAAAGTGGAGGAAGATGGGCACGGATGTTAGCTCAGGACCAGTCTTCCTCAGCAAAAAGAGGAGGATTGACAGATGTTAGCTCAGGGCTAATCTTCCTTGGGAAAAAAAAATCAAACAAATAAAAATCTTGTAGATATCTCCAGGTATAAACGTTTAGGACATGCAGATTAAAACTGGGATGGGGTTACTGGTTCACAGACCATGTGCTTAGTAGGGCCTTCCTAGGTGCCAGGGATACACTGGTGCTCAAGGAGCTGATTTTGGGGGAGGGACATAATAAGTATGTGAATGCCCTGGTGAGGTCATCTTCATTAGTGAAGGAAATAAATACCACGTGAGCATGCAGATACTTAGAAAGAACAAAGAAATACTTATACTTAAGGAGAGTTGATGCCATGTGAGTTGAAGAAAAGTCTTTTAGGGAATAAACTAGCTTTAAAAAGCAAAAAAACATAGAAGCAGTCCAAATAAATGCCCTGATGACGGATTGAAGTGAATGGACGGGAGAGAGTGCTAGGGAAGAGAAAGCAGTTCAAGTGGCTTCAGAGTTTTCAAGTTGAAAAATTCCAAGGACAACAGTGTCCCTGCCATCCATTGGTTACCCCAGCTGGCAGTGTTAACTTGCTGTTAACTTGTTAACAAAACTGGCTCTGCATATAAAAATTCTTCATTTTTACCTTGATACCAGGTTAGTACCGTTACACTTGCTGTCTAAACATTTACTGAAGCACCCGGACGGCGTTCCAGCAGAGCTGTCCTAGGACTGAGCCCCGTGCACTGTGACCCGTTCTCAGCGTCTCCCTTCTGCAGCCACTCACCTGTATTCTGTGCCGCAACTGCTGAAACTTCTCTTTCACTTTACTATTCAGTTCAGTAAGTGCACTCAATGGTCCTGAACAGTCTCGAATATCCTAGAAGACAGCGAAGAGATGAGGGGGCCCTTCTCGAGGCAATGAAACGAAATGACACTATCTGTACAGTGAGAGACTTGGCTCAGACCACACCTAAAGCGGGCCTACTGACTGTAATTCATCCTGATCTTTGCTCTTTACTCTGCAACACAAGCAAAAGCATTATCATTTTCATTTTCCTCATCCATCTTTAGATTAATTTTGAGCAGGTAATAGAAAAGCATAAAAAGAAACACAACTCTATATACAAAGGAATACTACTCAGCCATACAAAAGGAGGAAAATTCGCCATTTGCAACAACACAGATGGACCTTGAGGGTATTATGCTAAGTGAAATAAGCCAGATGAGAAAGACAAATACCGAAGGGTTTCACTTATACATGGAATCTAAAAAATAAAACAAACGAACAAACAAAACAAAAACAAACTCATAGATACAGAGAACAGATTGGCGGTACCAGGGGGAAGGGGGCTGGGGAGTGGGCGCAGTGGGTGAAGGGGGTCACCTGTATGGTGAGAGATGTTGACTAGACTTATGGTGGTGGCCACGCTGTAGTGTACGCAGATGTCAAATTATAATGTTGTGCACCTGAAACTCTTATAACGTTATAGACCAATTTTACCTCAAAAAAAAAAAAAAAAAGAGAAGAAGAAAGAAACACAATTCTGTCTTGACTCATGAGTTCCTAAAGTTTAACAAAATGCCACCTGGCCAGTATGAAAGGCTTAAAGCCGCCTGTATGTTCCACAAGAATGGACATCCAAAGGCGATATTATAACTTTAGATCTTTCCAACTTGAAAACCAGGATGTGAAATTCCTGGCATCACATGACAAAATTAACATCTTATCTGATTTTCCAAACCATCTGTTATAAATCACAGCGTTTCTAGACATGTTCAAGGGCAGATTTAGAATTTGTTTCTGGACATTCAGAATTACCAAGGTCAGGTTTTAGAGCAGACTCTGGAGCCAGGTGATGTGGATTCAAATCCTGGCTGAAGCAATTTATTAGTTGTGAAACCTTGAAAAAGTCACTTGGGTTCTCTGTGCCTCAGTTTCCTCATCACAACATCACCTACCTCACACACCATGGACGTGTGTGACCTGCCTAGCAGAGGAACTGGTACAAAGTAAGAGTGCAATAATCTAGCTATGATCAATCTTTGTCATAGCAATCACGAGAACCCAAATGCTAGAGAGTACAAAACGGGGCTTAAGCAATTTGGATTATGTGCAAAAGGCGATTTCATTAGCACGAATCCCAAGTTTATTTTTCTAGAATTGGCCCAGCAGTTTTGTAGTTTATACATGGGAGCCGTGAAGTTCAAGAAGTGGAAATGTCTGCATCAAGCGGCTTACTCACTAAACACCCTTCCTTGCACCCGAGGATGAACGGCTGCTTTGGCTTCTTTAGCAACTGGTTTCCCTGAGAAGTCCTACTTTTCTTCACTTTTTGCCACAGTTGGCTGCAAACTCTGGTCTACATCTAATGTTTTGTAACATTTGTTGGAAATGGAAACGACTTTCCTTAAACCACGGTTTCGGTCTCTTGGTTGCTTTTAGCTAAACTCAAGGAACCATTTCTACATTCCTACGTCTTGCCTACGCCAATCGGCTCATCGCCCTACTGCCTTCTACCTAAAACGGCCTAGGCATTGCACCTCGATCCCCCGATCTGTAAATGCAGGAGCACAGCGACTCCCTAAGGCCCTTCTCCAGGCTGACTTTCACTATCTGCCTTCTGATGCAGGCCTTGGCACTTTAGCCGATTTCCACATTTACAAAGTCACAACTACGGCCCGGGTTACGTTCATTCCCACGGTGCCTCCACTGCCAGGTGGCCTTGGGGACACGCCCCGGGAGCCCGGGACCCAGCCGAGTGGGCCAGCGGGGGCGGGGCGAACGGCCTCCAGGGCGCCACGAGGCGCCGGGGAGGCGGCGTCAGAAGGCGGGGCCGAGCAGGGTGACAGGTGTGTTCCCAGGGGCTCCAAACTGGACCGCAGAGCCGAAGCCTGGTCAGGGGCGGGGACACGGGGCTGTCCCGGAAGAGGGCGAGCCGAACACCTGGATGGAGAATCAAGGCCAACGATCAACGGGACCCAAGCGGGACAGCAAGGGGGTAGCCGGCCATGGCGGGGGGGCGACCTCGGAGACTTGACCAATGGGGAAAGCTCGGGAGTGAGACCGCCGAGCTCCCAGGAAGCCGGCGGAGCTTGGGCTGAGGGCGCCTGGAGCCCGGCAGGGTCCCGGGAGTGAGTACCTGGATAAGCGCCTTCACCTCCAGGTCGAATTTGACGATCTCTTGGTTACAGATCCGGACGTGGACATCTTGGGGAGCCGCCATGTTGGAGACGCCGGCTACGGGCCGCGGCGGTGCCCAAATGCAAGCGCGTTCTCGCGCCGCCGGCCTCACGGCAGCGCCCCCTAGAGCCCGGCCGGGGGCGAACGAGCAGGCGGCGCCCAGGCCCGCGACCCTCCCGACGCGCGGGCGGCCCGGCCTCGCCTCCCGGCCGGTCCTGATGAAACCGAGAGGAAGAGGAAAGGGAGGACCTAGAGCGTTTTGACAGGGGCCCCTCCCCATCCTCCGCCTATCAGCCATTCTAAGGGCTACATATTTTTTACACAGAGGGAAAAAAACAAGGCTGGAAGAAAAGTATCAATTGGGATGTTTCTGGAAGGTGGAATTAACAATTTTTTATATTTCTTTAAACTTTCTTGTATTTTTCATATCTTCTACAGCGAATAGAAATTGTGGAGTAAAAGAGAAAATGGTAAACGTGTTAGGACTTTTTTTTAATGTATGGGACCCTTCTCCCCCCCCCCCCCCCCCCGTGAGACCAGACCAGCACATGGTCCCACGGATCTTTCTAAAATGCATACCTGATCAAGTCACCTCCCAGCTTGCACCCCTTCTTTGGCTTCTGGGGGTTCCCTTTATGTGTACAGTTAGATTTGTGAAATCTACCTCGCCGATTTTTTTGTTTTGATGTTTTGTTTTGATGGATTAATGTAGTTTTGATGGAAATAATTAGGAGCAGACCCTCAACAAATGGAGGCTCTTTCATTTTATTTTATTATTAAATAGTCCAAGTTTCTTAGCTGGTCCTCAAGGCCATCAGCCACCCTGCCCAGCCCCACCTCCCTCCTGGATTCTTCAAGCTCTTTTTGGATCTGTAGCCGTGGAAGCTGCTGTTCCCTCTTCTTGAATGCTTTTCCCCACTTGCCCCCAGCCCCGTTCACTCTTGTTCACTTCACTTAAGCAAGCATAGATTGTGAGGTCCTGAGTGCCTAGCTGTGTATTTCTATTAAACCTCACAACCGCCCCTGAAATAAGTAACACCCCAGTTTTACAGACGGCGAATGGACTAAGAGTAGATCAAAACCAAACCAAACCAAACATCCCTGCCCCAAGGTTACCCAACTTCAAAGTGGCAGTTCCCTACCTGAAAGCCACATCTTCCCTCAACAGCCAAGTACGGCCCTTGGGTAGTGTACCAGCGGGGCTGTGCTGTGCGCTTGCCCATCTGTGTTCCTCCAGCACCCCGCACTCCCGCCCTGAAGGTGCTGTCACCCCACCCCACCTAATAGAGAGGCGGCATATCGCAGCCTAGGGCGTCTGCCCTGGGTTGAATCCTGACCACAACCCACTTCACGTCTCTGTGCCTCAGTGTCCTGAGAGGCTAACTGGTGGTAGTCACAGGGTTGGCGGGACGGTTAAATGAAGTAACACATGAAAAGCACCGAGAACAATGTAGTAATGTGGCATGCAGTAAGAAAATGCTTACTAATTGGCATTTTTGGAACACTTCTTATGTGCCAGGCACTTTGCACTAAGTGCTCCATGCGCATCATCTAACTCTCACAACAACCCTGTGAGGTAGGAGTAACCACGTTTTACACAAGGTAACAGGCACAGAGAAGCTAATGGCTTGCCCAGCGCCAGTGGAAGTGCTATGTCAAAGGATATGTGCATCTTAAAGTTCTGATACACGTTACCAAATTGCTCTTCATAGAGCTTCTATCCGTTTACACTCCCACCAGCAATGTGGTATAAATGCTGCTTCCCCACCCCCTCACCACGGTGTGTTAAACACTGGGATTTTTGCCAGTCTGATTAAGTGAAAAATGCCATCTATGAGTTTGCATTTCTCTTATCATGAATGAGGTTGAGAGCTATTTGTATTTACTCTGTCGGCTCATTTCTCTATTGGGTTCTTGGTCTTTTTCATATCAGTTTCCAAGAGCTCTTTAGATATTAGGAGGAATAGCCCTTAGAGATGAGCTTTTTCCTTGTCTACAGACTTGTGTCTTGGCTTATGGTGTTCTTTGGCCTTAAAGAAGTTTTATTTTAAATTTTTTGTTTTGTTTCACATAAAATTTATCAATCTTCATTTATGACTCCTGGATTTGAGATCCAAGTTAGAAAGGCTTTCCTCCCACTGTAGGGGTTTAAAGGAATTGCCCACATTTCCATCTAGGAAACTGTTTTTACAGTTGTTTTTTTTTAGCATTTCGATCTTTACCCATTTTGAAATATATGTTGGCTTATGGTATGAGGTATAGAGCCAACTTTACCTTTTTCAGAGGGTTACCCAATTGTTCCAACACTATTTTCTGAAGAATTCACCTTTTTCTCACTGATTCTGGATGTCATTTTTACCATACTGAATTCTTTGGTTAGAATCTATTTCTAGACTTCCGATTCTGTTGGCCTGTCTCTTCATTCATGCACCAAAATGAGTTTTAATTATTATAGTTTGTGTTTTAATATGTTAGGATTGAATAGCTCTTTTATTTTTTAATCCCCAGCATCTTCCAGGTATTATTTTTTTCCCCATGTAAACCTTAGTTTTTTGGGGTTTTTTGGTATGTTTTGAGATGGCACTAAATTTTTTATTTAACTTAGGAGGAGTGACAGCTTTATGTTACTGACTGCTCCTGTTCAAGAACTTGGTCTGTCTTTCCATTTGTTCAAATCTTCTGTGTCCTTCCTAGTATTTTAAAGTATTCTTTATCTAGACCTTGTGCATTTTCTAAGTTCATTCTTGGCAATGTTTTAAGATTAAAACCTTTTAAAGAAACTGAGTTTGACATTTTTCAGGTCACTCAACTGTTCTGGATCCTCAAATAGAAGCTCCCTATTTAGGACCGTGAGGAAGCCCAAAGTCTGCAAGCAGCAGATCTGCCCACATGACCTTGGGCCCCTTCCCATCAGGCTTCTTGCTGAAAACTCCTGTGCAATCAACAGTCCCCAGCTGCCTCTCTAGGCAGCAATTAAAGAAAAGATGGCTCCTTTTTTCTCCACATTCCAACACACTCTCCTTTAACAGCCCCAATTCTAAGCCCTTAAGCTAGAGGCCATCTTTGAGGGATAGATATGCAATTTGGTGACCCACACCCCCAATTACTGACTCCGGCCGACGCTATTTTGCTCCCATCATCTTTCCCACTGATCCTGAGACCAGCTTTTGGTTACTGCATCTGCTAGGTTTTAGCTTTGGTTCTTTCTGATTTTCAGATTCTAAGCCCATTGTCTTCCTCCTACACTGACATCCATCCAATTTGCTGTGACTTGGCCTGGCCCCTCAGAGATGAATTGAATTGTCTGTGCGTGCAGCAAGCAGACTGGAGTTTGAATTAGAGTTCTCTATCTTATAAGCTGGGTCTGGGGTGAGGCCCCTCACGTGTGTCTAGTCCGACTCTTCTGTAAAGCAGACACGACTGCCTACCTCACCACGCCATTCAGAGCAGCGGCTGAGTTCTCTGATGGGAGACCACTTAGCAGGGGCTTAATGAATGCCACCCTGGCCTTCTAGACTTTCCAACACCCTCTTCCTATCCTGAACCTTTCAGCTGGGATATTAAAGTATTTCCCAACTATCGTCTTTCTTTCGGGCTCAAGAGCTCTCCTGGTTCTGAAATGGCTGTCGGTGAGGAGGGCCAACTGGATGACCGGTATAACTGGGGGCTACACACGGGTTTAGTTTCCTAAGGACTATACTGACCCGGTTTGTCCAGCTCCTTAAAATTCCGACCATGACAGAGGCGCCTGTAAGGAATGGCCTTGAGAGGGCAGGTCCTGAAGCAGAACCAGCCCAAGAGAGGCCATGTGCACTTTGCTTCCTGATGGCCCCAGGTCACTCACATGAAGCAAAAAGGGCTTCATCAAGGTCCCAGGAAGTCGCCAACACAAGCCTGTCAATTCTTCTCTAACATACCCCACTGGATGTGGTACCTGGGTCCTTGCAAACACCTCAGCAACAACATACCTAGAGCTCTTTGCACATGTAACAGCTCTTGTGTTGTTCTGCAATCCTGTTCACGTGCCACCTCCCTCAGCAAACAGGAGGTCTCCTTAATCTCTTATGGCCCAGTACCTAGCACAAGTCTAGACGGAGTATGTGCTGAACAAACGTCTGCTGGCTGAAGGAACACACTGCTACAGCACTGTTCACTCAGGTCCCGACTTACGACTCTATGTTCAGAGACTGACTTAGAATTATTAAACACACGAACGCACAAAAATGTTTAAGTCAGGAGAGACTAAAAACATTTTATTTCTCTCAGAGAAACTACTTCCCCAAAGAATCAAAGAGGGGAAATAAGTATAAACTAAACTATAAATGATGCAAATGTTTCTATCGACAAATAATTCTACAAAATAGCTAAATTTCACTAAAGTATTCAAAAATCAGCCCAAAGTGTCATAACGGGTAGTTCTGTGTACACTACACCAAGAGACGGGCGGCGGGATCAACAGTTCACTGCTGTCTCTAGAGTGGAAGTTCTCTGCAGTGGGTTATCTGGAAGAGGAGCATATGGTTACCTTGGTAAGCAACACGAAAGCAACAGAGGAAGGAAGGGCAAAAACATGAGGCAAACGATTCCAAACTTTTTCTTTTCATCTTTTTTTATTTTAAATTACAAAGGATGTTGCATACACTGATGAATCTGTATCTGACTAGAAGTGCTGAGGGGTTGGAAGGTGACAGAAAACAAAGGCAACCTTTGAATTGCCTTTTCTTCTGAAAAGAAAAACTGCACAACTATTAACCAACATTTAATAGAATAATTTTTAAACAGCTCATGCGTCAACAAGATAAAATTCTTTCTAGACAAAAGACAAGACTGAATCCAATAAAAAGTTTCATAGCTCCAGTTGGGGTGGGAGGGGAACAAAACTACAGAATATTTATGATAGCATTACAAACAGGATCCTACATGACTATGCAAAAGAGGCTGCCACATTGTATGAACAAATGCTTTGAATTCTTGCCCTTCCGCTCTTCTCTTGTGACTTGTCATGTGCGGTCAGCCCTAGGATCACTGTTAACCACAGATGCTAAGTTATAGGACAAATCCGAGGGAACAAAGGTCAAAAAAGCAGGCAGTGGAATACAGTGTCATAAAAATGTGGTGGAAAGGCAGATACAGTACACACATACACAATTCTGTTATTTGGTTCTGAAAAAAACAAAGGGCGAAGAGCAAGACACAGTAATCAGTCCCGCTCCCATCCACCCAGAATTTAATTAACTACACCATTGTGTTTACATTATTATGAAAAGGCATACCTAGTTCACCCAAACTTGGCACACTGAAATACCCAACTGTGATGTCTTCATTAGCCACCAAGTCTTCAATTCTAAAATACTATTTGGAAGTAGTTTTAAGGTTCTATTCCCTCATTACTACCCCCAAACCTCTCTTTTCTAAACAAAAATGGCAATTTGGCATAATTCAGTTCCTAGGTGTAATTTCTACAATTTCAGTCAGTTTA